CCTGCTGCCTTATCCTCTATATAGAAACATTGGATTCAAATTTTCTAACATAGGAGAGAGAATGCAAATCCAGCCTATCTACCTTTTTCCATCTTACAGTTGGGAAGATTTTCCTCTCCCGTTTTTTAAAAAATGTTTTTTAAATTGTTGATGGATCTTTATTTTATTTATTAATTTATTTATGTGTGGTGCTGAGAATCGAATCCAGTGCTTCACACATGTGAGGCAGGCGTTCTACCACTGAGCTGCAACCCCAACCCAATCCTCTCCCCTTTTTTTTTCTCCTCCTCCCCCCAAGTGTTATTGTACCCTTACTTCTAAGGTCAAGCCATCTGAATTGTGATACTCAACCCTTTTTGGTGGGGGGGTAAATGAGAATTGAATTCAAGAGCACCTGACCGGGCTGGGGATGTGGCTCAAGCGGTAGCGCGCTCGCCTGACATACGTGCAGCCCGGGGTTCGATCCTCAGCACCACATACAAAACAGAGATGTTGTGTCCGCTGAAAACTAAAAATAAATAAATAAATATTAAAAAAAAAAGAGAGAGAGCACCTGACCACTGAGCCATATCCCCGGCCCTATTATTTTTATTCTCTGTAGAGACAGGATATCACTGAGTTGCTTAGTGCCTTGCCTTTGCTAAGGCTGGCTTTGAATTTGCAATCCTCCTGCCTCAGCCTTCTGAGCCACTGGGATTTCCAGCTCCACTGCACCCAGCTGATACTCTTTTGATCTATAATGTACAAGACACATTTCTGGAAGTAGAGTAGGGCATCTTTATAGCTACATTGCTGTTGTCAGACAAACAGCATTAGTTTGTCAGTATCATTTGATGTGGGGCTTCCTTTTCTCCACTATCCACTTTTTCCCTTGGTTTCTGGGGAAGTTGGGTCTGGAGATGATCTCGGTCCCTAGATTCCACTCTCCAGAGCAGCCCCTCTACCTTCTTTTCATGCTAGTGAACTCAGGTCCAATCTGAGTGATTTTGTGAGGTGTCCACTTCTCTATTGGGTCCCCTCATCACACCCTAGGTCCTCCACATGGGTGAGGTGGGATTCATCTCAGAGTGGCTAGGGATTCATCCTAGTGCTAGGCAGGCAGGGTTAAACTCAAGGTGATCTGGGGGATCTTAGTCTCTGTTGGCCTGGTGAAGGGTCCTTTGACTCTAGGGTAGACACCAGAACCCTGTGTAGAGCAAGGGTCCTTGGACCTTTTAGATGCCCAGTGCTAAGAGAGAGGAGGGAGGGGCGTTTTTGTGTTTTTTTTTTTTTTTTTTTTTTTTTTTTTGGTCAAGAGGGAACATGGAAAGCGGGACCCAGGGACCATCGCTCTGTTGGGCAGGACTATGTAAAGTCACCTTCTTTGTAGGTCAAAAATGGCCAAATCCCAGTGTATTTATGTGGTTCAAACTGGTTGATTTGTCTCCTTTATAGTCTCCTTTAACTGGGTCTTGGATTTAAAAAATGATAAAAAGACATGATTAGAACATTGGGGTTGTCTATGTATATATGCAACTATGTATAGCAAGACCACAATGTCAGAACCACACCAAGTTCCTAAGCAAGGTATGCGTATGTAGATATAGAAAGCCCTGGTTCTTGTGAAGATAAATCTAAGAGTGGGTAGTAAGAAGGAGGGTTCATGCATGTGGAACATGGTATAGCGTGCATTCAGACAACCAGGATGTGGCTATTTTTCTGTAGGCTTGGAATTTTTCGGGGAGGAAAAAAAAAAAGCTGGGGAAAGTTCGGGGATTCTCTGTAGCCAGCCACACTGAGGAGGTTGGTGACTTCCGATATATTCTCATTTAAACCCTGAGTTAGAAGAATAGATGATGAATCACTTTAGTCTCAGCCTTTGTGTTTTGAAGAAGACACATTCATTTAGCTAACACTGTTGGGGCCTCTGCTCAGGCTCAAGTCTCTTGTGTGTGCTCCTGCAGAGGGGAGGGAAATGTTTGATGCTGCAGGAACTGGCAAGGCAAGGGTTCCCAGGTGCTGTTTTCTGTATCACTCCACAGGAAAATACAGATCCAAAGGTTACTAAAGATTTTCATATGTAAAAATTTTTGAAACCTTGGGCTAAAGGTGTAACTCAGAGGGAGGGCATTTGCCTAGCATGTGTGAAGTCCTGGGTTCCATCCCCAGTACTGTAAACAACAAATCACTTACAGAGCCTGGTCAGGGATTTTAGGAGCTCTTCTAGACTAAAGGTTAGTGGACTTTTCCCCCCTTCTTTCCTCCCTCCCTCTCTTTCTTTTCTCTCTTTTTTTTTGTACTGAGGATGGAACCCAGGGCCTCACACACGCTACCCAAGTTCTCTACTACTGAGCTGTATCCCCAACCCTTTTATTTTATTTGGAAACAGGGTCTCCCTAGGTTGCCCAGGCTAACATCAAATTTGCAATCATCCTGCCTCAACTTTCCAAGGAGCTGGGATTACAGGTGTGTGCCATTGCATGTAGCTTGTGAACATTTTTTTAAAGGACTAAATAGTAAATAGTTTAGGCTTTGGAGACAAGAAGCAAAATTGGTAACTCAACCATTTGAAAATGTAAATACTACACTGAAGTTTTGTGGCCAGGCAGCCACAGGCTGGTGCCTATTCTAGACTATGCTTTCAACCTTCTCCCTGTGGCATGTTTCATAATGCCTCCTTCCCTGCCCTGAGGCAAGGCCTCACTCTAGCACTGGCCAGCCATTCTTCGGAAAGCAGGCCTATGGGTGCCCAGGCACACAGTGATAGAACCTTCTTACCCTGCTAAATGGCAGGAACATCGTTACATGGAGAAGGTATGACCAGCTATCAAAATTTTGAACAAAATACAACAGTGAAAAAAGCAAACAATGCAATTTAAAAAATGGGTGAAGGAACTTAGCATGATGGCGCATGCCTGTGATCCCAGCAATGAGAGACCGAGGCAGGAGGATGGCAAATTCAAGGCCAGCCTGGGCAATTTGGCAAAGGCCCTGTCTCAAAAAAAAAAAACAAAAACGAAAACAAAAAACTGGGGATATAGCTCAATGGTAGAGCACACCTGGGTTCAACCCCCAGGACTACCAAAAAATGGGGGGAGAGGGGCAGGGGAGTTGGGGAAGGACTTAAATCAACAATTCTCTCTGAAATAGATAAAAATGGCCAGCAAGCACATGAACAGATGCTGAGCATCACTAACTATGAGGGAAGTGAAAGTCAGAACAATGAGATACCATCTCACACCCATTTGGATGCTTATAAGAAAAAGCAGTTATTGGTGAGGATGTGAAGAAATTGGAAACCTTGTGTACTGTTGGTGAGAATGTAGGTTGGTGCAGTTGTTGTAGAAAATAGTATAATAGTTCCTCTAAAAATTAAACCTGGAATTACTGTGTGATCCAGTCATTCACTCTAAGAGTGTCTTCAAAAGAATAATTCAAAATATGTGGAATGGAATTGCTGGATTATACAAAATATTTTTCTGAACATAGAAAAATATGCAATTTATCCAGTGATTGCCAAAAAGAATATTAAAGTGATGGCAGATAGTGAGATGGTTTTTCAGTTTCTGCACAGCACTTTACAGACAAGTAAAAATATCCACCAGATGCACCTTGGCAACATTCAGAATGTCCCTAGGGGATTTCTTGCTGTCCCCCCAATCCCCCCCCACCCCGCCCCATGAGAACCCCTGTTCTTATTTCTTATAAATAAATGACTGGTGAGTAGTAGTGGACAGGCTAGGTATCTATTTGGGTCCTGCATGGCCTATGCCACCACAGAATTGGGTTTGGGTTCTGCTTATCTCTCATTTTTATTTTTAATTTTTATTTTTTAGTTTTAGGTGGACACAATATCTTTATTTTACATTTATGTGGTGCTGAGGATCCAACCCAGTGCCTCATGTCTGCAAGGCGAGCACTCTACCACTGAGCTACAACCCCAGCCCCTGGGTTTGGGTTCTGATAGATGTCACACATTCCTGAGGTGGTAACACTGGGGGAAGGGGTGTGGCTGAGGGATGGGATTTGGGGAGGTACTGAATGAGGCTCCTCCTTCACTCAGTTGTCTTGTTACCCTGATGGAGGCTTCCAGGGATGTAAGGTGTCTGCTCCCATCTTAGAGATCAGAAACCTGATACCTTCCCTGGAGGTTCCAGTCAGTCTTCCCTAACCCTGAATTTTGTACCATCACTATGTTCCATTTTCACCGTGAGACTCCTGCTGTCTGACCCAGCCACCCTTGGGGTTAAGTGGCCTGAAGGGGTTGATGGCAGAGATTGTTGACCTGTGGTTTGTGGTGGTAGTTCCTGGGAGTGGCATTAGGAGCTCTTGCTTCTTTCTGCCAGCTGAGTCAGTGTATTCTCTAATGTTGTGACCTCAGTGCCCATGTCCTGTGCAGTTCAAGGCTTAGTTATTTAAAATCAACCTCTTTGTTTTTTGCTGCTATAATGAATAAAATTAAAGTTATGTCGTGGATGAAAAGGATTCCATTAACATTCCCTTCATGCTTCACAGTCAAGGCTTCCTTGTGGGAAAGGGGAGGGACCAGTGGTGTAGTTGAAGTTGTTTTGTATCTCCTGGAATGACAGCCAGCATTTCTCTTGCTCAAAGAGCCTTTGCTGTGACTCCAGTCTTCTGGTCTCACATTGTGCACCTGTTCCCAGGGTGAGCCAAAATGAGTTTGTAAAAGTTATCTTGCTTCTGTGACCTTCAGTCATGGGAACCAAGTGTCAGCATCCTAGTTTGGGGTCATGGACATGGCTCTGTGGCCAGGCAGGGATCAGACTGCTTGTTCAGTGAAGTGAGTTAGGTGGATGCACCAGAGCCATTTTTTATTGGGTAGGTTTGATAAGGAAGAATAACATGTGAAAAACCCGTTCAGCACAAACTGTCTCAGCAAAGAGCAAACCAGGGCCTCCCTGGAGAGTCACTGTGACTGCTTATTTTGGGAGAGGCCATAGGCCTGGGCCAAGTCCTGGCATCTGTGGCCTCCCTTAGGTGACACTGCCATTCTGCTGTAGGTTGGACCTGAGGGCATCCTGCAGAATGGGGCTGTGGACGACAGTGTGGCTAAGACCAGCCAGCTCTTGGCAGAGTTGAACTTCGAAGAAGATGAAGAAGATACCTATTACACAAAGGACCTTCCCATCCATGCCTGCAGGTGGGCACTTGGGGCTGGGTCTCTCACCTCCCAGGCATGGGAGCCCATGTGCTGTGATTGTGGCCTGCAGCACTGTTAATGTTGTCATTAGGAGTAAGGAAGTTGCTCATAAGTCCCTGTTACTAGGCAGGAAGGTGGACCGGCACCCTCTGACACCCTGAATTCACCCAGCTGTTGAGGGTTACCCTTCCTTTAGTCTTAGACCTGTATGCCTTCTAGGACCTGAGATCCCTCTGGTCCCTGCCCACTTGCTTATAAGGAGGATCTCATCACAGTGGGCGAGCTTTGGGACTGAAGGGTAGGTGAGTAGTAAGACTCTGTTACAAAGCGATTTTACTGCAGGAGTTTTTAAAAGATCTGCCTCCCTGAAGCTCATGATTCCAGGAAAATTGGAAGTGATAGACCTGTATGTTGACCAAATTTGGAATTCTCATCTCTGGCAGGGCCATCCTTTATATTTGGATTTATCTTGCTTTTTGTTTCTTATACATAAACATGAAGGAATTGAGACCCTAAGAGAGAAGATAATTTGGTGCAGGGCACCTGGCCAGTCAGTTCACATGTGGGCCTGGGCCAAGTTCATCCTGCCTGGCCCTGGGGCACACTGCCCATCAGCGATCTGTGCCCACTGCTGCAGCCTTTTTGGCTGCATGCAGGTCAGCTTTCTTGGGCAGAGGGTGTATCTTGTTCCCACATAGTGGCTGACACTTTATTTTGGCTCTGTATAATTTATAAACTTTATGAACACAGTAGTGTTACTGCTGTGTGTAGTGATGCTGGAAAATCGTCTTGCAAGTTGCAGGGGAGTAAGCTGCATGGTCCTTTGTCCTTCCTGCTCTCTCCATGGTGTGAGATGGGCGATGGTGTTTTTCCCCTCCCATTATAGTAGTGGGGGAGGTGAGGATAAGGGGAGGCTTCCTAGCTTTAAGTGCATTTTAGTTTGAAATTGACTTTAACTCTGTATATTAGCAGAACTCTGTGGAGAGCTGGGGATTTTTTGTTTCATTTTGTTTTGCTTTTCTTTATTTTGTTCTTCTTGTTTTTTGGTGTTGAGGATCTGTGGGTTGAAACCACTTAATCATTGAGCCACATCTCCAGCTCCTTTTTTTTTTTTTTTGAGACAGGGTCTTGCTAAGTATTGAGGCGGGCCTTGAACTTGCAATCCTCCTTCCTCAGCCTCCCACATCACTAGGATTCCAGGCATGTGTCACCATATCCAGCAAGAGCCAGTGTTTTGGATGTGTTGATTTTTCAGAAAACCTGAACCAGGAATGGGGTAGAGAGCTGGGTCCTTTTAAGTGCTCCTTGCATGAGCTTCCATCTGCTGCCAGGCTCAGAAAGGCCCTCCACCTCAGGGTCTGTGCCCAGTTCCCTGGGAGCACACTGCCCTCTGCCGGAGCCTGCAGCTTACTGCCCACAGCGTTGCACTAGTTGGGATTCCTGAAACTTTAGGACAAAAGGGAGGATCTAGAATGGCCTGGGGTCTGCCACTTTCTCCTCACCTGGAAGTGGCTCTACAGCTGGCCTGGGTGCCCCCCTCCCCCAATCCCAGAGTGGCCAAGCTCACCTGGCTCTTCCCTGTGATCTCAGGTTTGTGAAGCCTGCATTTAACCTGAGTGACTTTCTTGCTGGGCTGGGTTTGAGTGTGTGCTTAATGAAAAACTTAAAAATGTTGTAAGAGGAAGGAATTTTACATCCTGCCAAATTAAAACCAGAGAGCACCCTTCCAGCTTTAACTGTTGATGTTTGGACTCTTTTAGTTACTGCGGAATACACGATCCTGCTTGCGTGGTTTACTGTAATACCAGCAAGAAGTGGTTCTGTAACGGCCGTGGAAATACTTCTGGCAGGTAGATAATCAAACTGTGCATGTGTCTTTAATCAGTGGTGTGCTCAGATTTGTGTGTAAATTATGGAAATGTTGAAGCGAAGCGCAATATAAAATCACGCTAACAAACCTGGTTTTTTTCCTCCTCTGTGACTGGTTTAACTTGAAACAGATGGTAGTGTGTGAATGCCCTAATGTATTTACCCTTGATTTATTCTCTGTGGTTCTTTTTATTATGCAAGTAGGGTTGGCTTAATTCTCATTCCCAGTTTTTATTTCTCTGTTTCTGCAAGATGAGCCGCTGGCACGCCTGTTGGTCTTCCTTACTGGGAGGCTGTTCCCAGGGCGGTCACGGGCAACCAGAGGAGCTGGTTCCTGAGAAGGCTCACTCTGGCCCTGGCTCATCTGAGCAGTCCTGAGGCTAATTCGGGCCAGATCCTGAATCATCGGATTAAATTAAGTTCACTTGACCGTCAGCGCTGGGCTTCCCTTCCTGCTGTTGATCAGCAGCAGCTGTGACTGGGTCCCTTGTTTTGTGTTTGGGATAAGATGAGCATCCTCCTGGCGCTGAGTTTCAGGAAAGTCTAAGATCTTGCCCATGTTCTGGGTCTCCATGCTGGTGGGGATAGCCCAGGGCTCACTCCACTGCTGCCAAGAAATGGAGCAAAGTCTGGTGAGGCAGTGCTCCCAGTGCCAGCTAGGCAGTGGAATCTTTTTCTGAGAATCACATTTTGGAGACAGTGACCAAAGCTTGTAGGCAAGCTTATTTTCACAGAGACCTGACACTTCCCATATCAGCAACAGGGATGTGGACAGAAAGATCAGATCTCATGTTATCTCTGAGTTAGTGACTCACTGTGTGGTGTTCTGAGCATGGCAAGGAATGGTCTTCAGATTATCTAAGACATTTGTGTCCCTTTTTCAGAGTATTGTGAATAATTCGAGTGTTACTCTGTTGGCATGAGTTCCTCTCATGCAGGAAAAGCAATTAAATAAAACTTTTCTTAGCTGGCAACCCCTGCTTCCAGCCAAGAACAGGGAAGCAAGCATAGGGCCTCCAAGAAAAAAAGAAGCCAACCACCATTGCGTGTTCTGTGCGAGTCCTGGCCAGAAGTGATGGGGTAGCCATTTATCTTGAGAGAGCTTTGAATGCCATAGGATGAAGAAGGCCCAGGAAAGGCTATAGGACATCACTGTTTCTGGTTAATTGTCTAGTGGTGGCTGCTCCAGGGAAGATTTAGGGGCTTCTGGGATGCCAGAGTGACTGGAGTTGGTTAGATAACCTGAAGAGTTTGGTGGCAGCTAGAGAGGGTAAGAAGGTTAGCATTTGAGTTAAAGCTTATGGTGGAATGGAGAAAGTAGGGAAGCGTTCTGGAGAGAGGAAACATAGCAAGGAAGACCTGGAGGCTGGCTGGCGTGCTCAGCCCTTATGACCTGCCTGCAGCAGTCAGGAGGGAGGCTCAGAGCAGTGGAAATGCTGGGAGAACCTGAAGCAGAACAGTGTACAAGCGCACAGGGGGGCCTCCTGCAACTAGATGAGGCCATTGTGTGTGTGTATGTGGTGACTTAGCAGGGGCCGAGTGAAGTGCAGGCCACTGTTTAGGTGAGCTAGGAGGGCTATCCTGAGCCCCACTCAGGTTTGGGGGGTTTTTAGTGTTTTTTTGTTTTGTTTAAACTATCTGGTTTCTAATATGTTCAGTTCTCATATTTCCTGATCTGCAACAAATTTAGGGGCCATTGCTCCAGGAAGTAGGAATAGGGGCTCTGAGAAGTGACTTTCAATAGAAAACAGAAGTGAGGCTAGAGCAGTGGGGTCTCCTAGAGGCCCATCCACTGTCCTAACAGTAGCTTCTGCCCCAGTGGTAGGCCTGATGCTGATGCGTTGGGTTTAAGAAAGCAGGAATTGGGGAGGAAAAAATGCAGGAACTACGTGAAATGTGTTAAGGAAATTTTCTTTAAAAGTGGTTGAAGTTGGGGATGATTTTTGTGCTCAGTGGGAGCCAGATCAGGGGAGGGCTGCTCCCAGGGGACACCAGATGGATGAGGTGTGACCGCCTCTGCTAATGGACCATGAACGGTACCGGAACTTTTAACAGGGGCCTGAAAATTGGAAGTGGTGAAAAGCTAAAGTTTGGGTGTTAACTATTTATCATTTCCTGGTTTCAGCCACATTGTAAATCACCTCGTGAGGGCAAAATGCAAAGAGGTGACTCTGCACAAGGACGGGCCCCTGGGGGAGACGGTCCTGGAGTGTTACAACTGTGGCTGTCGCAATGTCTTCCTTCTCGGCTTCATTCCCGCCAAGGCCGACTCAGTTGTCGTGCTGCTGTGCAGGTGAGGGGCCACTGTGGTTGGCCCTCTGCCATAGCCAGGGCTCTGACCCAATGGTACTGTGCTTTAAAAATGTTTTTTGCTGACTGGCAGGGTATGAGAACTTTGGGGGGCTGGGGCTGGTTAGAGAATTGGGAATGTTGAGTAACTCTTTTGGGGTGTGTTCTGGTTAAATCATAAAAACAATTCTGTGAAAACAAAGTCTGTTCTGAGTTTTAAGAGTTCAGAGCTCAAGTGTGCAGGGAGATGCAATTTATTACTAACAACTTAAAGGTAATGTGATCACATAGTAAACAGCAGGGAAATCCCTTTTTGAGTGTCGGGTCATCCTGGGGTGGGTGGGGTTGGTCCTAAAGGTGGGCTCTTCTACACACACACCCCCCCTCCGGATTTTGCAGGCAACCGTGTGCAAGCCAGAGCAGCCTCAAGGATATCAACTGGGACAGCTCGCAGTGGCAGCCCCTGATCCAGGACCGATGCTTCCTTTCCTGGCTGGTCAAGATCCCCTCTGAGCAGGAACAGCTTCGGGCCCGGCAGATCACGGCCCAGCAGATCAACAAGCTAGAGGAGCTCTGGAAGGTGAGTGTCTCAATGTAAAGCTAACCCTCTGACCTGTAGTGCCAGCTTCGGGCTGCACAGGGGTAGATGGAGTGTCTTCAGAAACAGCTGACCAAATGAGACCACCTGAGATTCTGGAAGGAATGGAAGCATGATCTACAGTGGCGTGGGGGCACCTGCAAGCCAGAGGGGTTCCTATAGCACCTGTGCGTTCCTGGTGGGCAACTCACGATGTTCAGGGCCATCTATCATCAGCAGCTTTCCCTGACTTGCCTGACCCAGGAGACTTAGCTCTGGGAAGGGAAGTTCTGACTGTTGAAATCTGTTTTTGTTTTTGTTTTTGTTTTTTTTTTTTTGGTGGTGGGGGAGTACCAGGGATTGAACTCAGGGACACTCAACCACTGAACCACATCCCCAGCCATATTTTGTATTTAATTTAGAGACAGGGTCTCATTGAGTTGCTTAGCACCTAACCTCTGCCGAGGCTGGCTTTGAACTCGTGATCCTCCTGCGTCAGCCTCCCAAGCTGCTGGGATTATAGGCATGCGCCACCACTCCTGGCTGGAAACTGTATTCTTGCTGGGTGTGGTTGAGGCCAGTGAGTCCCTTGGCTGGCTTGATGTGAAACAGAGTGCAGCACAGGCCACCATTTAGGCAAGATTTTGCTTGGGGATAGGAGGGAAAAGTTTGGGGACTAGCCTTGGCATACTTACTTGGAGGGCCAAGACTGAGCAATAGGGAAGACTGTGGGTGCCATTTAAAACCAGGGGAGCAGCTGTCTGTCCTATAAGAAGGTCAGTACAGGTAGATGTGAAGGGGAGAAGCCAGAAAATGGGGTTCTTGCTCTGACTGCAGACTCATGGTAAAACACCCCCTATACCCACCTATTTCTCCAAGGAAACCCTTCTCTTGCTCTGGCTGTTTAGGACTTTGTGATAAAGTTAGTTGTAACTGAGTTAGAAATTTTAATTCAGCACCCATTCAACCAGAAATCTTAAATAGGATCTTTTTATTGAGGTACCCAGGGCCTCGCACAGGCTAGGCAAGTGCTTTACCTCCAAGCTATATCCCCGGCCCTTTTTGGTTTTGGAGAGGTCGTGCTGAATTATCAAGATTGGCCTTAAGCTGGCCATTCTTATGCCTTGGCTTCCCTAGTTGCCCAGCAGTAGGATCCTGTTTTTTCAGGCATTGTCTAGCTTAGCACCTTTCGGTTTCAGTTTTCAGATTGTCAAAGTCCTTCACTGTTCCCAGGTACCATTCTGTCTATCAGTGCAGAGCTCCCTAAGAACACCAGGGGAAGAGCTGCAGAACCACATTGGTTCAGCTCAGAGGTAGCAGGACATATGAGATGGGCCTCTTCTGCTGTGGACCACAGACCGAAGCCAATGAGCTTCACACAGACAGAAAGAGGCCTTACTGTTCTTTGCCGCTGGGCATTCTTGGACAAGAACTCATGCTTATTTGCTTGTGGGTGGAAATGGGGCGAGCACTTGCTTTTCTCATCTTGTAGGAAAACCCTTCAGCCACCTTGGAGGACCTGGAGAAGCCGGGAGTGGATGAGGAGCCGCAGCATGTCCTCCTGCGGTACGAAGATGCCTACCAGTACCAGAACATCTTTGGCCCCCTGGTCAAGCTGGAGGCTGACTATGATAAGAAACTGAAAGAGTCGCAGGTGATGTGGTGTGTGCAGGGCTCGCGGTGCTCTGGTTCTTCTTTAACAAAGCATCTCTCCTAAGGTGGGGAGGGTGCTTTCCTCTCTAGGCTGCAGAGCTGGACAGAAATGCAGATCCGAGGCCATATTCGAGTGATAAGGAGCCAGTGCCCAGTCATCGGAGTAAACACCAGCCTGAGTGTTTTGTTTTAAAACCCACAAAATACCTTGCAGTCTGGTTTACAGCTTTGCTTACAGCGACGAGAGTTAGACCTTGTGCCAGGTCACTACAAAGAACGTGCCCACGAAACGGGAACCATCCTGCATGGCAGTCGGCCTCTCTTCTCTCCCTCCTGTAGCCAGTTCTCACAGCCCATGGCCAGGAAGAAGCCTCCTCTGGAGTGAACATTGTGTTGGGCCCTCCTGTTGTTTGCTGCAGAGTCTGCTGACGGGTCACCTTCTGTGGGTTCTGGGGGTTCCTGATTGCTTCTCTCCCAGATGTGCCCTTGATGGAGTTTCAGGCCTGTGGGTGTCATTCTGCACCCAGGAGTCACAGTGTGCAGCCACTGGCATGGCCTTTCTGGAGGTTTAGAGCCTCAGGGCAAGCCAGACACGTGGTGTCCAGGCCCATGTCTGTGTGCAGGCTAACCGGGCTTTTATTTTCCATGTGTTCAGACTCAAGATAACATCACGGTCAGGTGGGACCTGGGCCTTAACAAGAAGAGAATCGCCTACTTCACTTTGCCCAAGACTGACTCTGGTAATGAGGATTTAGTCATAATTTGGTTAAGAGGTGATTTTAAGTTTTAAAATATTTGTGACCATAAGTAGCATAAAATTCCTAGTTTCACCCTTGTAAAGTGTCCCTTGATTTGAACTCTTCATGGTGGAAGTCACGACATATGTTAAAAACATTAACTCTCTTGCTGTCTCTTTCACCACAAGACATGAGACTCATGCAGGGGGATGAGATATGTCTGCGGTACAAAGGGGACCTTGCACCCCTTTGGAAAGGGATCGGCCACGTCATCAAGGTCCCTGATAGTATCCTTTATATACTGGGAGCTGGGCCAACCAGGCTGGGAAAAGATGGTTGTGGGGTCATGGGTTTGATGGGCACAGCTGTGCAGAGTGGTAGGTGCTGGTTGGTATAACTCTTTGTTGCCCTTAGGAAAACCATAGTCTCTTAACCTTGGCTGGGTAAGGTGGATGGTTATTTCCCCTCCACTCAAATAGGCATCCACAGTTGTGGCACCTATGCCTTGGCCAGAAGCTGGCCCCTCCCCACCTGTTCGTGTGTGTGTGTGTGTGTGTGTGTGTGTGTGTGTGTGTGAGAGAGAGAGAGAGAGAGAGAGAGAGAAAACACATGGTGTGTGCACAGCCTGCGCCAGCAAGTGAACATGGGCTCTCAAAGGCAAAGGCTGTGAATGAGAACTCTGATCTCTCTGATTGTGTGTTGGTTCTGCATGTTTTCAGCATTGGTGCAGAGGAGGGCTCTCCTAAGTAACCAAGTAAGTAGTATTTAAAGACCAACAGCTGGGCTGGGATTGTGGCTCAGCGGTAGAGCACTCACCTAGCATACCCAGGGCCCTGGGTTCAGTCCTCAGCACCACATAAAAATAAATGAATGGAATAAAGGTATTGTGTCCAACTACAACTAAAAAAAATTAATATTAAAAAAAAAAAAAAGACCAACAGCTGAGGTCTCCTAGGAAGGGGAAACTAGACTTTGGACAAGAAAGCAAACTTAACTCAGCACCCAGATTATGGCGATGAGATCGCCATTGAACTCCGTAGCAGTGTGGGGGCACCCGTGGAGGTGACTCATAATTTCCAGGTGGATTTTGTGTGGAAGTCAACCTCATTTGATAGGTACGTCCACCCTCCTGTCTGATTTGCAAACACCCACCTGCCACCTCCAGTATCTCTGTAAATTGTCTTGTCACCATGGCCAGGGACGTGGTACACAGCTGCATTTGGTTGACCTGTGCTTTCCCTACAGGATGCAGAGTGCGCTAAAAACATTTGCTGTGGATGAGACCTCCGTGTCGGGCTACATCTACCACAAGTTGCTCGGCCATGAAGTGGAGGATGTGATCATCAAGTGCCAGCTGCCGAAGCGCTTCACAGCACAAGGGCTCCCTGACCTCAACCACTCTCAGGTTCTTGCAGGTCCATGGGGACACGCAGGGCCACCCTGCATGGCCTATTGGGAGGGCTGCTGGGTGACTGCTGCTCCTAACTGCTGGTGCCTGTACTTGAAGGTTTATGCCGTGAAGACTGTATTGCAGAGACCGCTGAGTCTGATCCAGGGCCCTCCAGGCACGGGGAAGACGGTAACATCAGCCACTATTGTTTACCACCTGGCTCGGCAAGGCAATGGGTAGGCTCTCTGCACAGCCTGTGGGTGAGACATGGAGGGTTTGGGTGGTAGGAATGGGGAGTTTTGTCTGCTGAGAACTTTGGATGCAGTTGTGTCCTCAGGCCCAGATTATGAGGCGAGCACACAGCAAGCAGTGACCCTATGCAGCTTGGCATTCTGTACTTGCTATGAGTTGTACTCGATCTGACCTGTACAATTATTTTTGAATAACCAGGCCCGCTGCCATCGTAAACACAGTGTTGGTCAGTGTGTCATGGGCTTTGTTGTGCCTTTGTGCTTCTGAGAACTCTGAAGGTTCCAGAGAATATATACTGACAGGAGGATGAGGATGCAGAATTTAGTCACGAGTGTTACTTCTCATGAGTTAGAACTCTGAAAGCTGGGTGGGAAGCAAGTAGCTCTCACTGCTGGGGTTGTAGCTCCTTCCGTATGTGTCGTTCCAGCTTGGAGCCATAGATCCAGAGCTGGCTGCACTGCCTGTTAAAAGCAATGGTCTTGGCTCATTAACATTCACTGAATTTCCTCTGGGCAAAAACTGAGATGTTCACATCTTGTTCCAGGCCTGTACTTGTCTGTGCTCCGAGTAACATAGCTGTGGATCAACTGACGGAGAAGATCCACCAGACAGGGCTGAAAGTTGTGCGCCTCTGTGCCAAGAGTCGCGAGGCCATTGACTCCCCGGTGTCCTTCTTGGCACTGCACAACCAAATCAGGAACATGGACAGGTGGGTGTCAGGCTAGCTCTGTGGGCCCCTCACTGGGCCCTCGCACATACTGCTGGCACATACAGATCTCCTGCGTGCCCGCTGACCTGGTGTATGATTGCAGCATGCCAGAGCTGCAGAAGCTACAGCAGCTGAAGGATGAGACGGGGGAACTCTCTTCTGCGGATGAGAAGCGGTACCGGGCCCTGAAGCGCACGGCTGAGAGAGAGCTTCTCATGGTGAGCTCCTGGCCGGGTGCTGCTGACTGGGAACAGTCTGTGAAAGTGGGCTTCTGTTTTGTTCTTTTGGGCCAAAAGACCAATCTGTGAAGCCTATGATGGCACCTGTGGGGTGGTTATTTTATTTATTTTTATGTGGTACTGAGGAGTGAACCCAGGGCCCTGAATGTGCAAGGCAAGTGCTGTACCGCTGAGCCACAACCCCAGCCCCTGGAATATATTCTTACAACAAATGAACCTACCAAAAGTAATGTCAGCCCTAGTCTGGGGTTTTACCAGCTCCGCACTGCCCCTTAGAGGCTGTCATGAGACATGGAGCTGTGTCTACTTGGAAAGGTCTCTGCCAACAGAGTACAACTGTTTTGATCATTAAGTTGCTAGTCATGGAAACCTGGATAGGAGATAATGTGGGAAGGAGGGGCAGTTTATTTAAGCAATTGTCAGAGAGGGCTTGGAACAGAACATATTTTGTACCCATCCTGCTTGCCTTCTTTCCCAGAGCTGTAGTATTGACCGTGTAGGTTTCCTGTTGCCCCTGTACCCCTTTCTCAGAATGCGGATGTCATCTGCTGCACCTGTGTGGGTGCTGGTGACCCGAGGCTTGCGAAGATGCAGTTCCGCTCCATCTTAATCGACGAGAGCACCCAAGCCACCGAGCCAGAGTGCATGGTGCCCGTGGTCCTTGGAGCCAAGCAGGTGCGATACCTTGCCTCCACTGCAGTCTTATTTGAAACCCAGAGATGTGATTTCTAAGACCCAAGGTTTGTTTTCTAAAAACATGATGCTGGGTGATACCCTGGTAGAGCACTGAAGAGGAAATAAATACATAGAGGCCCCTTTGAGAGTGTTTAAGGTGTGGACCCATGGGGCTATTGCCTGTGCCCACCATGCTCAGAGGCCCTGTGTACCAGGACCTTGTGTGCTGAGCAGTTTTCCTACCCAATGTTTTTCCTTTTGAATTTGAAAGGCTGGGTGATGGTACATGGACCTGGAGCCCCTTAGACCTCTGCTAGTGGCGTTTAAACCATTTCATGGTTGAGATTTCAATTTGTGTGGCCTCTCTCACTACAGCTGATCCTTGTGGGTGACCACTGCCAGCTGGGCCCAGTGGTGATGTGCAAGAAAGCAGCCAAAGCCGGGCTGTCACAGTCACTCTTTGAGCGCCTGGTGGTGCTGGGAATCCGTCCCATCCGCCTGCAAGTCCAATACCGGATGCACCCCGCGCTTAGTGCCTTCCCATCCAACATCTTTTACGAGGGCTCTCTCCAAAACGGCGTCACTGCAGGTAGTAGGCTCTGCCTGGGGCAGGGGCTTTGGGAGATAAGTGGATACAAGGGAATGTGGTGGCTTGAGGAGAGGGAACCTGCCTGTCAGTTTCTCCCTACGGGGCTTTGCATAGCCACCTCTGTCAACGGGGTACTTTGTGTGAGGTCTTGGCAGGGCTCCTCATGTGGGCAGTGTGGTGGTCAGAGGGACTGAACAACTGCTCTGGAGTGTGGGGCTCCCCAGGGTGTGGGCTTGGGAATTCAGACCAGGGCTTATACAGCTTCATATTCGGCAGCAGGGACAAGAATTTGGGTGCTAACCTTGCTTTATGCTGGGAGGCATGTTAAGTGCTTTATGAAAATTATCAGAGCCAGAGTGCATGGTTCTCAAAGCCCAGAACCCCAAAACAGCCCCCAGGCTGTGGAGTCCAGAGACCTGCAGGCTTCCTGAAGTCACAATTACTCTGATATTAGCAGAGACAACATCTGCCCTTTCCACTGTCCCAACACTCACACTCATGGTGATTGACTGGGATGTGACTGCCCAATTATGCCAGACCCTCGGTGTCACTGCCACACAGTGTCAATAAAGAATGCCTTGAATGAGTGTGCTGCCTTATATCTTCAGTGTGACAGAATGGAAGTGCTTGTGAGACCTGGTAGGTGTGGGAGGTACTGACAGGGAGGCACTTGTAGATACATGCCGATTGTTCACACTGGGGCACTGGACAGATATTTTCCTGAAGATGATCCAAGCAAACTTGTTATGGTTTCAAGGAAAACAACTGGCAGTATTTGTCACCGGTGATAAAATCTGAGGATTCAAGTGAAAGTGGAATTTTGGAAAATTTGTCATTGGGCTTGGGGTTGTGCCAGTGCCTAGTGTACAACTTTTCTGATGAGATCTGTGGTGGTGACAAATGGAATGCCCTTATCTTTTCCATGAAATATGTGTATTTTGGAACTCTTCATGACTCAGGGAGTAGTTATTTCCCAAATAACCAGCATGGACTGAGGACATATTTCCCAAATAACCAAAAGGTCATGCGGAGGCCAAAGACCCCATAGTGTGAGGATAGCCAGGGATGGGCATAACTGGCTTGCAGGGGAATTGGCTCTTCCAGCTTTGATGTGGTATCAGGGATGGAGAGCCATGGTTATCCAGAATGATCATAAAATCTTTCCTTGCTTTTAACTCATGTGACTCTAAGCCTGGCTTTCCTTGCATTCTTGAGCATATCACAAGAGTCTGGCACAAAAGCAGGTCTGGGGCCCAGCTGTCTTCCATTAAGCCACAGTACAGTGACTTACAAATTGGAAAACAAGACCATTCTCACTCATCTCATTTTGAAATGTATATTTTCATAAAATTTTTTTTTTGCAGTTTCTTTTAAAAGGGATTAATACATGTTTTAAGTTTGTGAGTTTTAAAATATAGTGACCCACATAAACAAAAGCCTCTCGACTTTTTAAGAACTCTAAAGGGTCCTATTAAAACCAGCATTTGAGAGCCTCACAACCTGCCATGTCTGTGTTTAGCTCCACTTAGACATGAGGACACAAGCTCAGAGTTTACGCTACACTGCTCCCAAATGGATGGTATAGGTCCTGGCAATTGTTGTCACTGTCACCATGACTCTTGGAATGGTGCTGTGCCATCACATGGCCAGGCTAGCAAACATGAGGCCATGAAGATCTCTCCTGTGGCCCTCTGAGGTGTCTGAGTTCAGTGCCTCTGTGCTAGCCTAGACCCTTGCCAGCCCCACTCTGGCCTCCTTGGCTATCCCCAGGACATTAGCAACTTGGGAGGACACTATTTGTTGCTTCCTCCCTACTTAGTTTGTACCCAGTGAGTTACTTTTATTAAACTTATTGAACTTATTAGTAAACTTATTGTGCCTATCTCATGAGTGCCCAGCTCAATGAGGTTCATTAAGTGAACACACCTGCATAACCAGTAGCCAAACCCTGAGACAGAACCTCACCAGTTCCCAGAAGCTGCCTTCATCCCTGAGAGTGGCCACTATCCAAGGCAGGACTGGAGCCAGTCCACACCAGCTGCTGAGGGCTGTGATTACATGTGCAAGCTCCTGGCTGTGGGTGTGTTCGGCTAAGCATTTGCCACTAGTCCCTGGGCTCCTGGGCCCCCAAGTTCACCCAGCTGGCCCCTCTCCTCATTTTGACTTGATGGAAGGAGTGTACTTTATTTTCACCTTGACATAAAAGGTCTTATACAGTATGTCCTCAGTGGCCATCTGCCTCGGTCACTGTTAGTCTAGCTGTGTAGCAACACTGCTTTTCTCACACTGATGATGGTTCCAGGGAGTTGGAACATGCATGTTGACTGGCTGACCTTAAAAGTATAAGGAAATGCACAGGGCCAGGGACAGTCATGCCATCTTGAAGAACTCAAGGACAGTGAGAGTGCCCACTGTGAGGTATTGGAGTACTGCCACTGTAGGCACCAGGGCAATATCAGACTCAGGAAGGGGTCCAGAGACAGAGGTGCCTGTCCAGAGGCCCAGATCAGTGACAGTGAAGCTCAACAGTCACATAGAAGTCAATCATGGATTTATGGGTCTTTTGAGATGACAGCAAAACCTCTGGAAGGAAACAGACATCTGTGATATCCTGGTGTAGGTGCATGTCTTGAGTAGACTTCAAAAAAGCACCAACAATGAGGACATGCTCAGCTAGTCAGCTCTGCCCAATGGCCTTGCTCAGTCCTGGGTATCATAGGCCAGGAGACTGGCTCAAATACCCTGGCTAGGGCACCCCACACTTGGGTTCTTTGCCCTGGAGCAGTGTCCCCATTGCTCTCTGGGCTTATTTGAGACAGCTGTGACTTTTCTTCTCTGACATGACATGTCTTTTTTCTTTCCTTTTTATGTCAGCGGACCGTGTGAAAAAGGGGTTTGACTTTCAGTGGCCCCAGCCTGACAAGCCCATGTTCTTCTACGTGACTCAGGGCCAGGAGGAGATCGCCAGCTCAGGCACATCCTACCTGAACAGGTAAGCATGACATACCTGCATCCACAGGCTTTGAAGCCACCTGTGGAGTGATATTGATACGTTTTCTCCTTTCCCCCATCTGTGTAAACTCTACCAATAGATTTATTTCCATCTTCTTTCCATGTATTTGCTTGTTTGTTTGTTGCCGTGCTGGGGATGGAACCCCCATGGGTGCTCTCACCACTGAGCATTGAGCTCTGTCCCCAACCTTTTGTACTCTTTTTTTTTTTTTTTTTTTTTTAGTTATAGATGGACACAGTACCTTTATTTTATTTATTTTTATGTGGTGGATCAAGCCCAGTGCCTCACACCTGCCAGGCGAACACTCCCACTGAGCCACAACCCCAGCCCTACCTTTTTACTTCCTGATACAAGGATATCACTAAGTTGCCCAGGCTGGCCTTGAACTTAGCATCTTCCTGCTTAAGCCTCCTAAATTACTGGGTTACAGCCATGCACCAGTGTTCACGGCTATATTTGTATTTTATTGGGCATGTTCTAAGCCTGCAGTGTGAGTCTTTTCCACTTCTCCTGACTTCTTACTAAAGATGAGGGAGCTCAGCTAAGGTCATGCAGGGTTTGGTGCAGGTGATGCCAGCTGGGCCTTCAGTGTCACACTCTTAGCTGTCAGAGTGGTACCCATTGCCCCCCTGGGTTGCTATAGGTTCACGTTACACTGGAGGTGTAGCTGCATCCTCTCCTCACAGCCTCCACCTGGGATTGGGGCTCTCGCAGGAGAGCTCTGTCACTGAAAGCCTGATTTTTGCAGGACGGAAGCTGCCAACGTAGAGAAAATTACCACAAAGCTGCTGAAGGCAGGAGCCAAGCCTGACCAGATCGGCATTATCACACCCTACGAGGGCCAGCGCTCCTACCTGGTGCAGTACATGCAGTTCAGTGGCTCCCTGCACACGAAGCTCTATCAGGTACGTCACACTGAAGGATGCTCTGCCACGGGCCACACACTCAGTGGAGGTTTGTTTCAGGCCTGACCTTCTGGGTCACACAGTAAATGTTGACTTTTGACCTTAAAGGTTGCCCACATGAGGGGCACCTGTCACAAGCAGAGTTCAGAACATGCCCAGAAACACGAGTCAGTCCAGCCTCTCAGGAAGGGCACCCGATAGAACATTTCCAATGTTCTTGCCGGAGTTCTGTATGGTCAGGCACTAGGCCGTGAGGAGTATGTTCCAAAGGTCAGAACAATGTGTGCATGAAAGTGTATTTCTTGGGGCATTTTTCGGAGTAAACTGAGAAACTACTCCAAGATGGGAACAGTGGGGAACAATGGGTGCCACTTTGTAGTGGACACAGAATTTGTTCCTTTATTAACATCCAGGTAGAACTCCATGTGGAAGTAATCCCAAATGCAAAATCTGGGGGATGACATTGCGAGTGGTTTCTGTTCTGTTCCTTGGATTTTCCAGGAGCACACAAGTGCTTTTATTATTGGGGAACAAAATAAAAAGGTCGAGGGTGTAGTTTAGCAGTGGAGGGCTTACCTGGCATGTGCACTGCTCTGAGTTCAGTCCCCAGCACCACACACAAAAAAAGAAAGAAAATAAAAAGTAGGAAAGGCCAGGAGAGCTGGGTGTGGTAGTGCATGCCTATAATCCTAGGGACTTGGGAGGCTGAGGCACACGGATCCTGAAGTTTGAGGCTGGCTTTGGCGATTTAGACCTTGTCTCTTGTCTTAAAAAAGGGGGGGGGGGATGTTGCTCAGCACCCCTGGGTTCAGTTCCAAAAAACCCTGCCCACCCCCGAAAAAAAAAAAGTCAAGAGAGTGATGTGGGAGGGGCACAGTGAGCAGTGCCTGGTCCTTAGCTTACCAGTGGCATTTGATGGTGTACTTGACATGTTCCATGTGGTTTTGGGGGTCCCTGGGGGCAGCCTGCTGACTAATGGGACAATGCTGCCCCTTTCAGGAGGTGGAGATCGCTAGCGTGGATGCCTTCCAGGGACGTGAGAAGGACTTCATCATCCTCTCCTGCGTGCGGGCAAATGAGCACCAAGGAATTGGGTTTTTAAACGACCCCAGACGTCTTAATGTGGCCCTGACCAGAGCAAGGTATGCTCACCCTTGCAGCACAGGCCCAGCTTTGGTTGCCTGACAGGGCTTGGCTAGTCCTAGAGGTCAGAGGGCTCCATGTCTCACCAAGAGTTTTCTTTGTTTCTGTGTCCTAGTGGTTGTCTGGGGCCCATGTTTCTCAGTCCAGCCAGAATTATATATCCGGGCTTCAAGGCTGAGGTTCAAACCCAGCAGCTCGGGCTTGTTTGTGGGTGTCCTTGTTGTGCCCTTTAGTCCTGTCTACCTTTTGAGGTTCTGGAATATAATTCTTCTGAGTGAATAATAAAAAGGACCCTGTGAGACCAAGGTGGCCAGTGTATCTGTCCCCACAGAATCCCAAGCAACAATTGCCCACTCATCAACCACAAGTCCAAGAATCTAGCATATGGCTTGCCAAATAACAGGAGCCGATGGCTCACACCTCCTGGTTCACATTTACACGTTGGTTCCCTACTTAGTTGTTTTTTTATTTGTCACTTCACTTTTTAGGGTGCTGCCTTGTTTGGTGGCCAGTATTAGGTGGATTTCTGACACACAGCTGCATTAGGGTGAGCTAAAGGAGCTGGCCATGTAAGGTACCCCTCAGTGGCTCATGCCCTAGTCCTGGGAATCTGACTTTTGACTGCAGATAGACCTTCTTGGCAGGTGTTTTAACATCAGGCTGTTTGGAGTCTGCCACAACATAACTTGTAGGCAGGGTCAGCAGCTTTGGGGCCTGCCTGGGCTCCTGCCTGATGCATACAGGTGCAGGAGGGAGCTGCTCTCTGTCCCTCTGGATCTGGACTTTTGAGTGTGTTTGGTTTCCCTTGGCCTGTTTTGCAGATGAGCACCAGCTCCCTGCCACTCAGGTCCTCAGCACCACATTCTTGTTGCAGGTACGGCGTCATCATCGTCGGCAACCCAAAGGCCCTGTCAAAGCAGCCACTGTGGAACCACTTGCTCAACTACTACAAGGAGCAGAAGGTGCTGGTGGAGGGGCCGCTGAACAACCTCCGGGAAAGCCTCATGCAGTTTAGCAAGCCCCGGAAGCTTGTCAATACCATCAACCCGGTAAGCATCCAGAGGCAGAGCAGGCTGGGGAGAAGGGCCAGCTTCTTACCATGTTCACATGTCTACTTGGCCCATCTCTTGTTTTAGTGGCACCAGAACTCTGTAGAGGAACAAAGGACACAAAACCCACTAGTTGGGAGTTAGGGACCCCTGGCCTCACCTCTTCTGGGCATGTGAGCCCAGCTCTCTGGACCATATCACCAGGCATAGAGGGTCTCAGGGCAGGGTGAGGGCAGATACTGGTCTGGGGGTTCCTTCTCCTAGGCTTCTGTCCTGGGAAGGTAGCTGTGAATGGTGGCAGGTGCAAGCTAAGGCTGTTCCTCAGGTCAGTGAGCAGTGTGTGTCGCCCAGAGGGCCTCCTGGGGGAGAGGTGGAGCACCAGCTTGAGCTCCCACATGGAGTCTCCCGAGCCCTCTGGGGCATGCTTGGCTCTGGGATTCATGGACAGCTAAGTCCTGGGTGGTCTCTGGGAGTCACATTTGGCCTGCAGCAGGCAAGGACATTGAGCACTACAGTTAGGAAACTGAGCTGGGGCACCAAAGTCAGCAAACCTCAAGAGCTCAAGCACCTGCCACTTCCAAGCCACCAGATCTGTGGAGAATTCTGCATTCTGTTGACATGACAAATTCCTCATCTGTCTACCACTTTGCAGGGGGCCCGCTTCATGACAACAGCCATGTACGATGCCCGTGAGGCCATCATCCCAGGATCAGTCTACGACCGGAGCAGCCAGGGTGAGTCTCCTACAGGGACCAATCCAGCCCATGTCCCCATGCCAGGATGTTGACATTCCCAAGTCTCAGCTTTGACCCTTGCTCCTTGGGTGGTCTTCACAAGGGGCATTTTTCAGTGTCCCTGGTCGGAAATTGAATAGTTGTTCCTTGTTGGCTTCTAAAAGCAAGATGTTTCTTCAGACATGGCAGCTCTGCCCTCAACTTTGCTTCCTTAGGTTTCCGCCCTGCTGACCCTCGGCCAGCTCTGGCCTTTGCCTCCTGCCCTTTGCTTACCCTCCACCAGCAGGTCGTAACCACAGCTCCCTTTGATGGCCTGCAGTTAGTTGAGGTCTGCTGCCTTCCTGAGACATCTGTGCTCTGTTTTGGGGGAAGCTGGCTGGCCTCTTTGGTGTCCTTGCTTCCTAAGCAGAATCTCTGCGTATAATAAGGTCAGGCCTGCCCCTGCTGCTTGAGAACAGTCCTAACTGCCCCAGTCACTGCCTCCTTCGGCTCCTCCCCTGTGCTAATTTGCACTATAAATTGAGGCTGGGGCCTTCAGACATCTGGTTTTGCCCTCATCTATATTGCAGAGATGGGCCCTGAGGTGACTACTCACCAACTTCAGATGTCCTTGAAAGTGGCCAGCCCCTTCCCTTGCCTGATATTCTCTTAGCCATAAGGCTCAAACTATGCATTGTGTTCTTTAACAACACAAACCATTTTACTGGGGCTGGGGATATAGCTCAGTTGGTAGAGTGCTTGCCTCACATGCACAAGGCCTTGGGTTTAATCCCCAGCACCACAAAATAAACAAAGACAAAAAACCATATTGCCCTTACTGGGAAAGTCATTGAATAGCTGAGGATGTCCAGGTGTCAGAGTTCAAAAGTTTTCACTCTGAATTAGTGCTGAGCCTTAGAGTCAGCCCCGTGCACTTGTATCCCTTCCTCTGGAGGGCAAGACCTCCTCCCTGTGGCCTCCCCAGCCCCTGAGGTGCACCAGGGCTTTTATTTGCCTTTAGCCAGAGCAAGCAGGACTCAAGAGTTTCCCCCCACGAAGATGTTTTCTTGCTTTTAACATGGAGTGGGAATGTGAAATTTGCTATTAAAAGGATTATTTTTTCTGACTCTGAGATGGAACCTGGGGCCTTGCACATGCTGGGCAAGCACTCTTCCTCTGAGCCCAGCCATTTTTAGAGTCTCACTAGGTGACTTCCCAGGATCCCCCAGGGGGGCAGGCACAATTGGGGGTAGAGGGCTGCATTTCTCACCCTTGCAAGGCCAGGGCAAGCAAGGAAACCACAGGACAAAGGTTCTCACTCTCTGTGGGGCAGACTAGCCTGTTGGGGACATTGACTTGGGAGTGACATGTGCTGTCCGCTTTGTATTGCAGGTCGGCCCTCAAACATGTACTTTCAGACCCACGACCAGATCGGCATGATCAGCGCTGGCCCCAGCCACGTGGCTGCCATGAACATTCCTATTCCCTTCAACCTGGTTATGCCACCCATGCCGCCGCCAGGCTACTTTGGACAAGCTAATGGGCCAGCGGCAGGTGAGCACCTGGCAGCCGTGTGCTGGGGAGAGCACGTTGGCATCAGGATTGAGCAGTGCCAAACCTCAGGCTGGCCTTTGCTGAGTTATGCTTGTCTCTGAGGCTTAATCCTCCTTCAGGTCACCTGAACTTTGTCTTTCAGGCCGGGGTGCCCCCAAAAGCAAGACTGGTCGTGGGGGGCGCCAGAAGAATCGCTTCGGGCTTCCTGGACCCAGCCAGACCAACCTCCCCAACAGCCAGGCCAGCCAGGATGTGGCCTCGCAGCCTTTCTCCCAGGGAGCCCTGACGCAGGGCTACATCTCCATGAGCCAGCCCTCCCAAATGAGCCAACCCGGTCTCTCCCAGCCCGAGCTGTCCCAGGTGAGTTTGTGATGCCTGTCCCTAGGACTGAGCACCTTCTAAGAACAATGATGGCGCCTTCATGACATGAGGCACTTAGCATGAGGCCATAAGTCTAGAACATTTCATTCAGACACTGTTCTCCTGAAGAGTCCCAAGCAACAGGCCTGGCAGTCCCCATCTGGGTTACCTGTTGCTGTGCTGCAATAATTGGGTGGGTCATCCTGCCACTTGGCCTTGAGGACAGAAATGTGAATGCCCTTTGGCTTCCCCCAACCTTGCTCACTTCCCTGATTCCCTGACCTTGTCTTTCAGGACAGTTACCTTGGTGATGAGTTTAAATCACAGATTGATGTGGCGCTATCTCAAGACTCCACATACCAGGGAGAACGGGCGTACCAGCATGGCGGGGTGACGGGGCTGTCCCAGTACTAGAAGGCAAGTCACCCTGAGCAGACCTTAGCCCTGCCCCTTCCCCTGAAAAAGGGTCTGGAGCCAGTACCTGGGTCTTCACTGGGGCTCTGGACTCGAGGAAATTCTGGAAATGCATGCTGGCCCCCAAGGGACCAATTTGTTCTGTGACTGCCACTGTGGGTCAGAGTGGCACCACGTGTGTCCCCCCATTGAGAATTAATTCTAGAACCCCTGAGGGAAAGGGATATGGGGCCCACAGTTGCCTGGGCCGGGAAGACAGTGGGCCCTGACCCTGACGGCAGCTTGCTGCCTGAAGAGGGCCTTCTGAGCGCCTGCCAGGCTCTGCTGAGCATCCCTACACCTGGGCTTTAGTTTCCTCATCTATAACATAGGACCAGAGTGGGTTGAGTGTGGGCTCTGGGTCCCCTTGCCCCAGCTTGTCTGTGCTGGGCAAGTGGGGTGCTGCCAAAGCTCGGGGTTTGCTGGCCGTAGCGCTCGACTTTGCTCACTCCTTGTAAGTCCCTGTCCTTGGGCACCCATGTATCACCCAGGTGCCTTAGTATCTGGGCAGCAGCTCAGGATCCTGGCTTCTCATGCTGTCCCTAAGGGTCTCTCGCCCTGTCCTTCTCCCACAGGTGGCGGCGGAAGAGCTAAGCTACGTGGCTTAGTCCATCAGCATCTTATTCTGGGTAATAAAAAATAAAAATAAATGGATACCTGTTTTCCACTGCTAAAACTGAAGCACCACTGTGTGAGCAACAGGAGAGGGAGAGGAGCAACCGAGGGAGAGAGGAACCGAGACAGAGCGAGCGCCCCCTGCTGGCACGCGGCGGCGGCGAGGAGAAGGAGAAGGGAGAGCGGGAGGTGGGCCGGCCGCGCAGGAGCCGCCTGGCCAGTCCCTGTCCAGCCCCGCTGCCGAGGAGGCCCAGCTCGCTGCGTCCACACCTGGGTCTGCGACCAGGGCGGAGGGAGGAAGACCCTCATCTCAGAGTAGCCCTTTCCTCTGTTCTTTTTTCTTTCTTTTTTCTTTTATTGAAAGGGGACTACGTTTTAGCAGGAAAAAACTTGGCGTTTCTGTGCCTGAGCAGGCTCCTTGTGGGTGGCTGCCGGCCACGCAGGGCCCGAGGAGTGTGGGTTCTGCCCACATCGGCTCCCAGACCGCCCAGGTCACGCGGCCTGTGTTTTAAGAGGGGTTTCATTTAAAGAAAATATGGTTTTGGGTTTTTCTGTTTGTTTTTTTAAAGATTCTTTCAAAGGAGAACTGAAAAATACACTGTCCTAAGTTTGTCTCTAAGATCTTAGTGGTGGACCTGGGAGATGCAAGAAGCTTCCAGAAACGAAGTTTATACAAGCCAGCGCAACTGGAGACTGGGATCAACACCTGTGCCATGGTTTCGAGGAGGATTTTTGTTTTTAAGTTTTAGCTTCCAGAGGCTTCTTGCTGCAGGTGGCAGGTTGGTGCAGCAGTGGCCTCACCTGGCCTGGAGGCCCCGCCTGCTCCACTGGACTCTGAGAAGCACAGCTGCTCCCTGCGCGGCGGACTTGGCGCAGGGCTTTAGCTGCTCCGTGAGGAAGGTGCTCGTGGCCCCACCAGGGGACCTCAGCCAGGACTGGCCATAAGGCCAGGTGCCAGAAGGGTGGCTGTTTCCGGTCCAGCGGCTGCTTCCCCAGGGTCCTTCCCAAGGATGCAGTGGAAGGCAACAGCCAAGCAGGTCTGTCCCTGTCACTGGGGAGGCACACACAGTCCCCGTGCTGGTAAACATGCCGAGTACCCACCCTGATTTGGAGCCCCTCTACCTGCTGGCACAGCTCACTGACGTGGGGCCGTTTCTGCTTTTGCGGAAGAATGAAGTTTCTGAGAAGTAAGCTGGCTGTGTGCTGAAGGGGCTTGGAGGAGCACGTCACCTCAGTTGGTGGAGGGGCATCTGTCTGGGTTCAGGTTTTACAATGCCAGAAGTTGTTGGGAAAACTGCCCCCACCCAGCTCCTTGCCCACGTGGGTTGGGGTGGCTATCTGCCTGGTGACCACTTCGCTAAAGACCATGTCCTGCCTGCCCAGGCCCTGGTGACCCCATCCAGCCTTCCCCTCCCCACAAGGTGTCCAAGGCCCTTATCCCAAAGCATCCAGATTCTGGCTGATGTGGGACCGGCAGGAGTGCACAGGCCACCTTCCTTCTGGCAAGGACTTATTTATTCCCATTGCTATAGGGCTTTTGGTCCCCCTTCTTTTGGTAGGCTGCATAGAGGCATAGATTCGGGTAGGTTCCCTCCATGACCCTGCGCTGCCCTGGGCAGCTGCGACCCGCCTGCCTCTGGCTAGAATGCTTTGCCTCTGCTGTGTGCCCTTTGCTTTGTCCTCCACCTTCCTAGCAGCATTTGAGTTTTACAAACTGAAGAGCATCTGTACCAAGGCGATGTAACTTGATTTTTGGTCAATTTGTTTTAAGCTCTTTTGTCACCAATAAAATATTAATAAATAGTTTTTGCTTTCACATGGGGCCAGTTGAACTGCAGGGGTGTGTTGGGAGGGCACTGGTTGGACTGGGGACCTGGCTGGTTGGGAGGGGTTTAAAGAGGGCTCAGCTGTCTGCAGAGGGTTCTCCCGGAGACCACTGCCCTTGCCTCTCTGGCACAGCATCTGGGCCTGTGGGCCCCCTGGAGATTGGGGGCAGTAGAGAGGACTGGGATGGTGGCGCCACACAGTGACCCTGTGCGTGTAGATAGCAAAGGCCCATTCCTCCCCACTAAGGTGACAAGGACCAGCAGAGCAGACCACCAGGTTTTTATTGTTGGGTCCATGCCACAACTTCCCTGCCCGCCCCTGGTCAGCGACATCCACACTCGTCCACCACCATGTCTTCATAGTGCCGTAGAACCACGTTGTCACTGTTGTCAAAGAAGAGCACAGAGATGGGCGACAGGCGTGCAGGCACGCAGCAGGGCAGGCCAGCGGCGCCCGGGGCGGCTGCGTGCATGAGCGCGCGCAGCACCGCATGGTTCAACGCGGGTGGCCCGCCGGGTCCCGGCAGTGCGGCGGGTAGAGTGCACTGGCCCTGACAGTAGTTGGCCAGGAAGCCACGCGGCGCGATGACCCAGCGGTGCCAGCCCACCTCTCGGAAGCTGACGTAGAGCCGCCGTGCGCGGCACACGCCCCCCAGGCCATCGCCCGACGTGGGTTCGGCCTCGCGCCGCGGCCGGGCCAGAGGGTGGCACAGGCGCGGGTCAAGAGTCACCAGCAGCAGGGAGGCCTCTGCCAGGCGCGCGCAAGTGGCTGGCGCCGGGGGGCGCAGCGCCAGCGCCAGGCGGAGGCTGCGCGGCGCCGAGGCGTTGGGAGCCCAGGCGATGCCCAGCAGCTCGGCGCGCACTGGCAGCTCTAGGGCGGGCACGTCCTGGTGGAGCAGAACCGGCCCGGGGCCCGCGCCAGCCTCCTCGCCCGCCAGCGCCACGCTCAGCTCCCAGCGGCCCGAGGGGGCTGCCGCCTCTGTCCCCACCTCCGTGAAGCGCAACTCCAGGCGGGCGAGCGTTGGGCGCTCGGCGGGTTCCACTGCCGACAGGTCGAAGACGACGGTCCACTCAGGGCACAGCCCTAAGGCCGAGACCGGCTCTGGGATCCGGGTGGGTGCACCTGGAGAGATGAGAGAGCTTGGCTTAGGCAGCGTCCCCGCCTGGTGCCCGGCCTGCCCCACAAAGGATCTCAGTTGGGGACAGGGAAGGTGAGAGCTTGGGGCTGGGGGCGCACCATCTGTTGGAAGGCTTCACAAGGTGTGACGCGGAGGGGTGGGAGTGACAGAGTGGGGGCAGGGCACTAGTTACAAGGAAGAGGCCCTGCAGGGTGCAGGCAGGCTGCCCTACACTTGGGGACACAGGCAAAGAGAGATGAGCAAGCGCCGGAGGCCCCTGGGGAAGGGATGCTGGGACATGGCGGGGGACACCTGCAAAAAGGCATCAAACGTGTGAAGCGGCGTGGAGTGGGGGCAGGGCTTAGGCTGCAAGCCAGGGGCTGCCCGAGGCAAGGGGGCCCTCCCTCTCGAAGCCAGAGCGGGTGTCTCAGGCGCGCAGAGGACTAGGAGGGATGGGGTGCGGAGACCCAGGCTGTAGTGGGCTGGACTGGGTGCGTGGGGGCCCTCGTGGTCACTCTGGTCTCACTCTGCCGCGCTCAAGGCTCGCTCGAGGAAGTCTCCGCCTCCCGGACCCATGCTTCCCACGCAGGCCCCACTCACCACGATCTGGGATGTGGCGCACGATGTTTCCAGCGACCCCCAGCTCCTCCACGTGGCACGGTCGCAGGGTAGCCCCCGAGGGCGTCCGTCGCCAGCCCGCCCTGGTCTCCTGGGGGTCGCGGTGGCGGAACAGGCGCCACATGACCGGAGGAACCGGCCGGAGCGTGGGGGCTCCCCTGGGTCCATCGCGCAGCCCAAGAGCCTGGAGTAGGGCGGCAGCAGGGCCCGGGGGCGCTGGGGCGCGGGTCAGGGGCGGAGAGGGCAGCAGCAGAACCAGGAGGAGGAGATGGTGGTGGCCGAAACGGCGGCGTGGTGGCTGCATTTTGTTCCCAGGCGATGACCAGAGTGGCAGGGTCCGCCGTATCCCTGGACCTATGGTCTGGAGGCGGGGCTGGAGTGCCTTGAGGGACCCAGGTCCTGGGGGCGTGTCCACTTGGGACAGATCCCTAAGGCGGGATCTGAGGGGGCGGGGCGGGGGTCCCGGGACTGGTGGCCGCGAGAGTCCTGGGCCCTGGAGGGGCGGAGCTGGATGGGGCCAAGGTCCCGGGAAGTGTGGTGTGGAGGGTCCTGGGGGCGGACCCGGGCCTCCAGAGACAGGGCTCGTCAGGGGGCGGACCCAGGTCTCCAGGGGCTCGGTGGGTGTCCTGGGGACGGGGCCGAATCTGGGAGGTGGGGAAGGGGGTCCAGGGGTTCAGAAGCGCTTGTCCTTCACCAGTCCGTTCCTCAGCGGTTTCCTGGAGGCCAGAACCAGTGCAGTTAGCTTGGTAACCCCAGGCTCCTCCCACTCTCTCCTGATCTTCCGAGGACCCCACTGTCTGGCCCAGACGTCCCTTGACCAGGCCCGGCCCAGGCCCCGCCTGGCTGCTGCCTCACTACTTTGCGGTCCCTTCCCCCGCCTCGGACCCGCCTCGTCCCTGCCCATAGGGCCATAAGACCTCCTGTGGGCATGTCCCCGCACCTACTCTCCCCCTCTCTCCCTACTCTCCCCCTCCCAATTAAACCCTTCTCTTCCCCTATTCCCCGCCTGACACCACCGCCTCCGCCTTCACAGACCAGGCACTTGATCCTACCGCCCTCCCAGGGTGGTAAAACTGGCCACAGCCCCCTCCCCCTGTGGGCCTCGAGCCTCTGCATCCACGCCCTCCATCCACCTCAGCCCCGCCCCATACTTTCTATGTTCTGAAAACAAGCTTCGCGAAGTTTTGCTTTGCGCTGCAGAGGATGGAACACAGGACCTCACGCATGCTACGCAAGGTCGCTACCACTGAGCCACATCCCCAGCACAAGTTTTGTTACTTTGCAAAACTTGAACCAACATGAGGTTCAAGGGAAGGACACCTAACCGGTAAACAAGAGGTATGGTTTGTAAAAACGTTTTCTCTTGCAAAAGAAAAAAGAAAAGAAAAAGAAAACGTTTTCTCTGTGCAAAATGACAGAGTTTTCCCCCAAACCCAATACTAATCGGAGATTCCTCCAGGTGCCTGCTGCCACCCTCCAGAAATTCTCTTTTCCCTGTGGGAGTTCGTGGCAGGACTCTGAGGTCCTCACTCAAAGGGGAGGAATGCCCCAAGTTTCTGCCCCTGCCTCCTAGTGGCACCTTGTTGAATTGATTTGGCCTCTCACTGCGGGTTCTTGACCCCATGGTCAAGGTCATTGGCCATTGTTGTTTTGGTCTGTGGGCACTGCTCGTGTCTTCACGCTTATTTTTTTGTTTGCTTCATAGACTTGGCTTGCATGGTCAAGAGGGGACAGAGCCAACCATCTAATGGTCTTGACATCAGAAAGAGAAGAAAAGTCACAGGTCTCTGGAGCCACGTTTGCAGGCTAATCTTTGTGTCTTGCACTTGGGTATTGTCACAGTACAAACACACATGTGCTTGCGGTCCCCTCTGCACTTTAGCTTTGTGGAGCACTCCATCTCGGAGAACCTTCCATGAGAAAAATAAGGGTGGTCCTGAGGGAAAAGGTCTTGGTCACTTTGTTTATTTTAATATATAATATATATTTTAGTTGTAGATGGATACAATAGCTTTATTTTATTTATTTTTATGTGGTGCTGAGGATCGTACCCAGGGCCTCACACGTGCTAGGCGAGCGCTCTATCACTTAGCCCCAGCCCCAGTCCCTGTTTTATTTATTTTTGAGTCAGGGTTTCACTATGTTGCCAGGCTGATCCTAAATTTCTGAGCTTAAGCAATCGTCCTGCCTCAGCTCTCTGAGAAGCTGGAACTCTGGGTGTCTGCCATCATACCTGGCTTGGTCACATTAATTCATTCTTCCCCTTGGACTAAAACTCAGCCTCTGTTTATGTGTTTCAGAGCCAACTGGATGTCCCCTCCTGCAGCACACCATCCTGTCTTGCTGGTCTTTTTTTTTTTTTTTTTTTTGGAGGGGGGGCGGGGGAATGAGCCCTGCTCAGACCCCCTCTGTCTTTAACTTTGCCAGTTGACCCTTTAGGCCTTGAGGGTCAAATTCACCCACCTGCTGTGGTTTCTCAAGTCTCCCACAGTGAAGTGAGTTTCTCCATTCCTTGATGACACAATCTCCCATCTGAGTTCAGGGCTGATTTCAAAGTTTTCTATGTTATGTTGACATCTTTGATACATGGGGTGCTATGTTTTAGATGTGAAATGTCCCCCAAAAGCTCATATGTGAGACAATGCAAGAATTTTCAGAGGTGAAATGATTAGATAATGAGAGCCTGAACCCATCAATGAATTGATACACTGATGGATTGACTGGGCACTGGCTGTAGAGTGCAGGTGGAGGCCTTAGGTCACTGAAGGCTTGCCTTGGGGGTTTTTATTTTGTCTTGGGTGAATGGACTCTCTCTGCTTGCTGGCTGCCATGTCCTGAGTGGCCTTCTTCAACCTTGCCTTCCGTCATGATGTCTGTCTCATCTTGGACTCACAGCTCTGGAGTCGGCCAATCGTGGACTGAATCTCTGAAACTGTAAACCAAAACCAACTACTTGTCCTCCTCTATGTTGTTCTTGCAGGTCCCTCTGGTCACAGTAACGCCAAAGCTGACTAAACCAGAAAAATTGGTCCTGAGAAGCAGGGTTGCTGTTGTGACTAACCTGACCACATGGCTCAGAAACCCCTGGAGCTGGTTTGCAAAGGGAGGGATTTTGAAGAGTTAGAAGTGCAGCCTGGAGACGCCTTAGAACATTGTAATCGGAGCTTCCCAGGCAGTTGAGGCCATTTATGTTATGGTCCAGCAAAGAAGCTGTCTGCATTTTAGTTGTAGTTGGACACAGTACCTTTATTTTATTTATTTTTACATGGTGCTGAGGGTGGAACCCAGGGCCCTCACATGCTAGGGGAGCGCTCTACCGCTGAGCCCCAGCCCCAGCCCTGGGTCCTGAGACTTTTTGTGAGGCTAAATTTAAAGGTAAGGTATGAATTAATCTGGCAGCACAAAATTCAAGTGGTGTTATGAATATTCCTGGCACCTTTTAGTGAAGTAGTGAAGTTTACTGTGATGATCAAGAGCAGAAGGCAAAAAAAAAAAAAATATTCGGAAAACTTGCAGTTTGGCCATAAGAGAGAAAAGAGCAAATAAAACTGGGGCTAAGCAAGTCGTGGTTGTTAAAGACACCACAGTCACCAAAGAGATCAGCTATAATAGGACCGAAGGCTTGAGGGCACCTTAGAGATGGGCAAAACTATACCCATCTCAGGCTCCAGGGTGTAAAAGTAAAGACTTCTTTGAGAAGAGACCATGGGGGCACCCTGCTTGCACAGGGGGGCCTGGCAATCACAAGCCAAAATAAACTTTTCTTCTCTAGTTTGGTCACAGCAACACAAAAGCTGACTAAAACCGGGGTAGGGGGAGTTTGAAATGGGAATTGAAAAGACAGAGACCCAACCTCACTCATTTCTCCAGCTGCTCCTCCACGTGACCCACCACCTCTGTGACCGGCTTCCTGCCCTCCCTGGTCCTTAGTAGTTGCTAAAGTTTCCATGGACCCAGGCCTATTTCTCAGCTCTGTTCTTGAACAGGGGCGTCTCCTTTTCTCTCCCTTCCTTCATTCCTTCATTCTTTTTCCTCCTTTCTTCCTTTTTGAGATAGACAGAGTCTTCCTGCGTTGCCTGGGATGCTCTTGAACTCCTGGGCTCCGGAACCCTTTGCCTCCGCCCCCTGAATAGCTAAGACTGTGCCTGGTCCTTGATTCCTCTGCTTTTAGAGCAAGTTTGGTCTCTTTGAGGGCCGGCATCCCTGCCCCACAGCATTTTACCAAGAGTTCCTGCTGATTCTTGCTTGTTTTTTCTGCACAAACCCCAAAGTGCCGCCGCCCCCCACACACACACACACATTGGAGTCAGCTACCAGCATTTTCCTTTTGGGGAGTGGGATGCACCCAGTGTGAGGGAGGTGACCTCTCTTCCATATAAGATTGGTACCTTGCAGCTCCAGCCCACCACTGTGGTAACAAGAGAAAGAGGTGACAGTGGACAACTTGGGTGGCATGTGGGTATATTTTTTTTTTCATGAAGGAGGAGGAGAGAGGGGACTCCTTAGGGGTTTTGCAAGACTTTTATGAGTTGCCATCAATTGCGATGGGAAACTGTTCTGGAGAGGTAGTCTGAGGTGGGAATGGGTTGATTGGGGATATTTTTGTAAGTTAGGAAGGTCAAGCAGCTGCTGGGGATGGAGGACGGGGCTTGGAGGAGCAGCGTGAGAAGAGAGGCGTGGAAGTCAGTGCAGACTAAATGTGGGCAGAAAAGGGCCCTGGGAGTGCAGGTGGGCAGCTAGGTGGCCAGAGAGGCCAAGCAAGAACTTACCAGGGAATAGGGAGAAAGGGGGACACAAAAGGGAGAAGGGAGCTCAAGAAGTATGGTGCAGGAAGCAGGATGGCAGCTGCCATGGGCTGAGGAACAGCCCGATGAGGATGGATCTGTGGGATGAAGAGAATATTCTGGAACTTGACAATAGTGATGGCTGCCCAAACCTGTGAATGTACTAAAAACCACTGGCTTCTACACTGTAACTGGGTAAGTTGTATGCTACTTCATTTATGTCTCAATAAAGCCTATTTGTATTGGGTCCTCTACAGGAACAGAATCAACAGGAAGTGTAATTATAAGAGGGGGATTTTTAGGTTGGCTTCAGCAGCCAGAAGCTGGATAGTCCACAACGGCCATCTGCAGGCTGGAGAGCTGGAAGGACCAGTAGCTGCGCAGTCCAAGGGGCTGAAACCCTGATTAAGAGGGATCAATAGATCTTCCCTCGTCTGAAGGCTTCTGAAAACTCCCTGGAGACTCACTGGCAGAGTCCCCGCTTCGGAAGAACGAAGGAGCAAGAGTCCGATATTCTCAGAGGATCACAGCAGCAATCCAGTTCAA